AACACATGCCGTGTAATAACTGTGAAAGGACCGTTATAGCGAGGACACGGATGTCCTCACTATAAGGTGATCGTAAAGATAAGGTGTGTAAGAACAGTATAACTACCACAAGACAGTTTATTATCAAGAGGGAAATTATGATATATTCAGATTAACGGTCTTAAGATGGTGGTACCTCACTTTGGAGGGATTTAAGTCAACTTTCCATTGCCTTTTTAGAAGATTAAAGACTTCTGTATAATAGATAGTTCTTGTGCTTGATCTTGTAAGAAAGAATGTGGTATTTTTCTTAAAAATTCCAATTTGTCAGTATCAGTGTTCTGTTTTTGATGGTTTCTTTTTGGCTGTCACAAGTACCTTGACAGTTTGTCAAGATAAGTTTATTTTGTGGAGCTGACTGCTCCATGTAAGTAATGATGGAGTTCATTTCATTCTTTAAGAAATTTTTCCACTGTGGTGTTTTTGTCAATTTATGTGTCTGAATACTTCTTACAGCAATGAAAAAATGTCAGAGAAACAAGAAAAATGTTAATTTTTAGAAGCATATATGGGCTTAAAATGATGGAAATGAAACATCCAGTATGATTATGTAACCAATACATTTTATGAGAATGAAAGGATTGGTACGCCCAAACTAATTAATCAAGCTCTGTCGTCAGCCAAATGTTTTCAAGTTTTTCCAAATGCTACAACTCTGCTGCAGACTGGTAGTGAAAAGAATGCCATGTCTTGGTAATGTAATGCAACACATGGTTAATTCTAAGAGTTTGACAGGAATTTTAATCTCCCCTTGTTACCCCTTCACTCTGATAAACGCCCTTTCCTGAAAAAATTCCCCTCGCCATTTTTATGAAGCAATCGAGGAATGGGTATAGCGATACTGATCAACTCCATTGATGAAAAGTGGCGAGCTAGCCGGCTGCCAGTCAATGCTCAGTCATATCAAGTCGCTTTAAACGCGTGCACAGGAGATTTTCCATCTTGTGTTTTTTGTCTGTCTATTGCATATAAGAAAGGAAATTTTATACCCTGGGACAACTCAAATCTGCCCATACTAAATGGCCCAGCTGGTACAGGGAGTGCATAGTTTTAATACTAATATGTAAAAACTGTCAATTGAGTTGAATTATTTGAAATGATGTAATCGATGGCACTCATTTCTCTGTAAACATATCTTCATGAAACAGATGATTATCAGCTTTTGGTCCTTAAATTTATTTATTTTATATGAAGAAAAAATAAATAATGAAGTAATAAAATATTTAATTTCCAAAGATTGGTTTTAAGTAGTTCCATTAATTCAGAAAATATTACGTGCTTAAGAAATTAAAAATGCTATATCAAACTTCAGAATATATATGTAAGTACCAACAAACAAAATGCGCACTGTTTCAAGGTAAACAAATTATTTCAGAAATTCTTACCAACAATGTAGGTGTCATGTATTCTTGGCTCATAATGAATTGAAGATGGTATTTTTAATGGCAATAATGTCAGCTTCATACCAATGGGCGCCTTTGTCCCCTGGCTAATGTGTATAAATGTTTGATGTTTAATGTGCTCTGGTGTGATTATCATTTCTCTTGGTAGCTGCTAGTTATCTGGGGCTTCACATAGCTACAGGGGGTCTCAAGTCCTGCCAAATGTCCTGTTATACATGGCAGTCACTATTGGCTGACAACACATACAAGTGTGATATAACGTGTCAATAACCACAGGTGAAATGGGGTACGTAATGGTGTATTTGGATTACAGTAGTATTTTGTGAATTAGTTATAACTTTTCCACCTTGTATATTGTTTCATATCATTAAATGGCATTGTTTGAACTGTATATTGACAGATGGATTTCAAGTTCTTTTTAGTTTATTGACAAAATTAAATCAGGTCACACCTGTCTTCATTGTTCTACCAGCTGATAGATTGGACTGGGTATTTTACTTGTTTTATAACATAAATTTCGTTGGTGTTTTACAAATAATTTTGTTTCAACATATTGGATAATTTAATTTAGCAATGCAAAATATATTTTGTTTGTAATTTATAGTAATATAAAGGTGAAATCCTGGGAGAATTTTAAGTCAGATTTTATCCAAACCAGTAAAGCTGAATGGAAAACTGTTGGAGACAAGCTTCTTCAAACAAGCCTCATAATATTGCTGTGGTACACTTACGCGAATCAGAGACTTGAACACCCAGGTGTGGAGCTCGGGGAGGTCATGTGACCTGTGTTTGTCACATGTGGACAAAAGCCATTGTTTAATGTGATGACCAGCGTGCTTCAACATCCCCTTGATCTGATTGCCACCTTAGGGCATGTGCTGATGAACATACCTGGGCACCCCTTCCCAAGACAATAGACCCAGCCATTATCTTGTTCTCTTGTTGACCATCACTTGGACTGGTCTGATTAGAGGGTGGATAATGATATGATCAGTGCCCCTGGTGTTGTGTATGGGAATTCTTTTTGCAATTGTTAGCATGACTACCCCTCTGTAATTATTTCTGTGGACTTTGTCTCTATGCCTTTTCAACACTGAGATTTTAATCTTCAGTCTTAATCTGAGTCCGGTCGGCCATTGTCATTAGGGTGACACTAATTTGGAAACGATGTAAAGTCTACCTATTGTCCTGTTTGTGTAGCTTCCACTCCAGAGCATCCTCGTTACAGATTATTTTCTCATTTCCTTTCGTTGAAGCATCCGCCTAGCCCCAATTAATTCACCGTAAAAAAGTGTTTCTAAGTTTTTGGGTAAATATATGTTTGAAAGAGCAAAGAAGGGTACTGAACCATGTGATTATGATACTTCTGTGTGAAAACACAGTAAAGAAGGTCGTGTTTGCGCTGTCGGATCATGAATCAGACGACCCACTAATCATAGCAAGTGTTAAGACAGTCAGGAGTTAAAATACAAATTTTATGATATTCATAAACATTTTATCTGGAGTCAAGGGTTTTTCATGTGAGGCTAGGGGTTGTGTGAAAAGGTGAATCCATCAGGTCAATATCATATATGAACAGTATGTATAGAAATATATATATGTACCTCACAATCAAGAATTATTCAACAAAGTCTGAAATATTTTAATTTATACAAAGTTATTATGTGATCAAATTTCAAGAATAATCAATATACACAAGAGCTTATTTGTTCAATGATGGTAATTTTGCCTGTTTTTAAATTAGTTTTATATTGTTGACGTATCAGTTTTCACTTCAACCTATTCAGCTGCAGCTGTTAATATCCAGCTAAGTCCTATTGGTGTTTGTTAGATGTTACTGGAATTGTGATTAATCTAATAATGTTGTGATATACCTATCCCACCTTGATACCTTCAAGCCATATATTTGTTTAATTTCAACACCATATCATTATGGTATATGGTGTCGTTACAAACCCCATGTAAATTTGAAAGATGTGTAGTGGCATTGTGTATGGTTTGTAGTGGTTTGATGTATCTCAGATTAGAAGGTTGAAAGAACCTGTAAATCAAAGCTAACTGTCAACGGTTACGTCATCACCCAACAAAGTTGTTATTCATTGTGTGTAATTTCATGGTGCAAGCTTACAATTAAAGGTAGCCCTTGATCGACATTGCATCATTCCCTCCCACTGGCTATTTCCCCTTTTAACCCCTGACCCCTGTTGGGATCTTTACCCTTTAAAAGCTATAAATTGTAATCATCACCGAACTTGTAATTACATTAAAGTCATTAAGCAAGAATGAAGTAAAACTGTTGTTGGTTTTATCACCCTGTCTATGGCTGAGGTTTCCCCCATGCTGAGTGTAAGGTAGAGAGTTGAAGCTTACTTCATACTTAAATCATTGGCAGTATTTATGTTGTGGCAGTTCAACCAGCAGTTATAACCTTTACACCATTAGTTGGATTTACAATTCAGATTTGTTGGATATATATAAATTAAAGGGTTGAAATTGACAGTTAATGTATATTGGGATCAATAATCACTGTTCTATTATTATTTGTTCATCAGAGTTTGAGCTGAATGGATTCCTATATACCACGCTGTATGGAGTGATTAGTAACTGACAAAATAACAGGGGAACCAGAAACTGAATGGATCCCTATATACCAGGTTGTATGGAGTGATTAGTAACTGACAAAATAACAGGGGAACCAGAAACTGAATGGATGCCTATATACCAGGTTGTATGGAGTGATTAGTAACTGACAAAATAACAGGGGACCAGAAACTGAATGGATGCCTATATACCAGGTTGTATGGAGTGATTAGTAACTGACAAAATAACAGGGGAACCAGAAACTGAATGGATGCCTATATACCAGGTTGTATGGAGTGATTAGTAACTGACAAAATAACAGGGGAACCAGAAACTGAATGGATCCCTATATACCAGGTTGTATGGAGTGATTAGTAACTGACAAAATAACAGGGGAACCAGAAACTGAAATGTAATGCTGTGACTGGAAACAAGACCTGTAGCCTTTGCTGGGTACATTTTCACATATCTAATTACAAAAACTTAATAATAGCTAGTTCTGAACCAATCTATTTCATGATTTAATAACAGGAAATGAAAGAGTTTGATGAGAATTTTCACAGGATCATATCAGAAGTGGGGGGTTTGTTGCAGGTCAGGTTCAGATTATGACGTGTTCATGGTACGATGCATGCTTCACAATATGACTGATCATATGACGTTTCAGGTTCATGGTATGATGCATACTTCACAATATGACTGATCATATGACGTTTTAGGTTCATGGTATGATGCATACTTCACAATATGACTGATCAGGTTCATCATATGACGTTTCAGGTTCATGGTATGATATCTCAGGTTCATGGTGTGATGTCTCAGGTTCATGGTGTGATGCACATGGTGTGATGTCTCAGGTTCATGGTGTGATGTCTCAGGTTCATGGTGTGATGTCTCAGGTTCATGGTGTGATGCACATGGTGTGATGTCTCAGGTTCATGGTGTGATGTCTCAGGTTCATGGTGTGATGTCTCAGGTTCATGGTGTGATGCACATGGTGTGATGTCTCAGGTTCATGGTGTGATGTCTCAGGTTCATGGTGTGATGTCTCAGGTTCATGGTGTGATGTCTCAGGTTCATGGTGTGATGTCTCAGGTTCATGGTGTGATGTCTCAGGTTCATGGTGTGATGTCTCAGGTTCATGGTGTGATGCACATGGTGTGATGTCTCAGGTTCATGGTGTGATGTCTCAGGTTCATGGTATGATGTCTCAGGTTCATGGTATGATGTCTCAGGTTCATGGTGTGATGTCTCAGGTTCATGGTGTGATGTCTCAGGTTCATGGTATGATGTCTCAGGTTCATGGTGTGATGTCTCAGGTTCATGGTATGATGTCTCAGGTTCATGGTGTGATGTCTCAGGTTCATGGTATGATGTCTCAGGTTCATGGTGTGATGCACATGGTGTGAGATTTTCACTGTAAAATATATGCAGTATAACATGTTCATGGTGTGATATGTTATCTTAAGGTAACATACCATATTTCCATGTCAAGTCTGTGTTGTGGCAACATGTTTCAGGAGTCAGGAAACATTGTCAATATTTATTATTGATAATGAGCATGTAAAGGGAAAAAGAAGAAATATGTCAAGCTTAATTGATTTGTTAATGCTGTTGGCCTATATAATCTAACAAAGTCTCCCAGACATTATTTTTATGAGCAATTTCTTGTTGGACAAACGGATGACACAACAAGCAGTGAGGGTGTTGAATGGGGCCTCAGTGGAAACTGTTCTATTTGTGGGACATGGTGTGGTAAATATACTGTAGTGAACAGAGAAGAAAACATCCATGTGCTCAGGTACCTATGCTTGTTGTCTGTGTGTGCCTTTGTTTGTTGTAACTGAAAGATTAGAGAAATGTATAATGAAAGCTAGAAGAAACATCCATCCATTACTGTCTGTAGGCGTGTAGAGCGATCAATCAGCAGCCCTCCAGGTGAGAGTGAAATCAAGGGAGAGAGCACTTGTCCTCTTGCTACACAGACGTATCTCATCAGTAGCCTAGCGCCAGCTACACCTGTTGATTGTTTTATGTGCCAGGTATGAGGTAATATTTACCGGGATGATTAGTGGTCATTTCAACCAACTCCAATCAAAGAAAAGTGGCAAGGGTCAAAGGTCATAGTGAAGGTCACTGCATTGGCTGTGAATAAGGAATTAAAATGATCTGAACCTGTCAACTGATGCTTTGTTTGTCTTCCAACTGTTACGGTGCTGTCCATTCTTTCCCTTTCAACACCGATTTCCTCCTCATTACGTCCAGGTAATTGCAGACCCCTGACAATGGCCATGGAGGGGGTACATGTAGTGGGGGAAATGAGGGGCAAGGGAAGCAGGGTGTCATTAGACAGGTCATGTAATCCCCTCTCTGTGTGGGAATTAGTGGAGGTGATATACAGGCATATCAACCAGTGGAATGTTGGCAGTGTCTGTCAGCCATATTGGATTATCAGTTTACATGCTGTTTTCATAATATTTCACAGGTAAATCATACTTTATTTGACCATTTCTATCTGTATTTTTCTGATGTTTCATTGTATGATGTTGTGTTAGGAGCAGCTAATTGTGTGAATGTTCAGTGCTAGAAAAGAAGTTCCTGTGAAGATAGCTGGAGGGTTCTCTCTGATGAATTAGCCAGTAGTCTGCTCATACAAGGGAATGTTGTTGCTCCAGCATCTAGTTATTTTTTTAAACTGCTACTCTGAATTGAACAGTGGACAATTCAAATATAATCAATCGTGTCTGCCTTGAAGATGCAATAAGGGTCAGAGTAACAGTAGAAAGCTTCTGTGCCTGACCATGGCACATAATACAGTCTACTGGACAGTTCACTTCAGCTTTTGTTTCCGTCAGTGAGTTTTTTCAACCTGTCAAACTTTAAACAATGACGTTTGAGTTAGAGACTTGGGACTGAAACAAATCTCTTGAAATATAACTGCATGCTTGATATTGGGAGCCTGATTGTGCCAAGTGGTGAATTGATGTTCATCAAAACTTGTCTTTGACATATTGGCACTAAGATTATTGTTGACTGGGCCCATTACTTCAAGATTGTACACATGTATGTTGTAGACCTTAACAGTACTTTGTAATAAAGCTTGATTGGACAGTTGCTTTGTGGAACTTTCCTGTGTGAAAATGTCCTCTGTTCCTGATTAGCAATATACAGTTGTCAGGGCCACCAGCCAGAATGATGCAGTTCTATGAACTGATTGGTTGTTAAAAAAGACTGAGTGCTTTGACAGAGACTTGTGAAATATTGATGTTAATTGCCTCTTTCCATTGTCTTGAGACCATAATGAGACAAGCATTTTCAGACCTTATTTCAACCAGGTAATACTAGTCGATATATCAGTGACATTGCTCTTACCTGTCTCTTAACGATCTTGCAGGTGATAAGGTGGCCAGGTGTGAGTTGCCATCGACAGATAGCCTCTTTGATCTAGCTCCAGTTTAAGTTAATGACTCACAGTAATCTTAGGTTGTCAAATTTTGTTTGTCCTAGAAAACTTAAGACACAAGGATTCTTTTAATTAATATATTCTAGAAGGAAACATTGTTTGGTCTGTTTGAAATCAAAGGAATCTGTTTTTGATGTATGTAGAACTGATCTATTGCTTCTGACTGAACAAACTGGGTGGCATTTGTGTTTTGAAAGTTTCACTTAATTCACCGTCATAAACAAATAGTATTACAGACTTGAGTCAAGCAGAATAACTCACTGAAATCAAGGCAAACAAGCACTAGCTTCACAGATCAATTCTCATTCTTAATTGCATCCAAAAGAATATTCTGTGCATGGAGCTTTGAAACATTTCAATTGCAAATATTATTTGAAGTCACTTCTAATAAATAACTACATCAAAAATAATAACGTCACAGACTGCTTATTTAATCATTTATACACCCAAAACAATGGACAACAATACAAAATTAATGACATTCTTCAGGATAATACTGCAACACAAGCCAAACTTGTTTTGTTGTAACACAATGAAGAAATAGTTGTCTTTAGCAGGCATTACAAAAAAACTGTTTAGTTTATGGAAAGGTATGCTCATGAATAAAAATTCGGGACTCCAAGGTTTGCCAGAATGTGTATCATCGTGCTCCAGTGACAGGGGTGGATCTTTGCTCACAACTTCTGCTCTTGCTTATCTGTTCAGACTTGATAGTTTACAGCTGACAGTGGGGTAGCCTCGTGGTTAAGGTGTTTGCTCGTCATTCTGTAGACCTGAGTTCAATTCCCCACATGGATACAAACAGGTATCCCCCACTGCGATATTGCTGGAATATTGTTATAGCAGCTTATAACCCAACTCACTCACTCACCGATAGTTGACAGGCTGCCATGATATGGCTGGAGCGTTGCAGACTGCAATGTATACCAACATTCCCTCACTCACTCCATGGTTTTAATCAAGTCAGGTGATCCCTGTCGCATGGTCATGATTGGTAATGCATGGCCACACCTATAGACAAAATCCGACTCCTCCTTGTAATCATCGAATCAGCAGTTTAGAAACTTTTGTGGACCTGTTCTCCAGGGTAGTTCCATGAAGTTGAGACGTAAGGAACTTTGGGGTACCTGTGTAACGGTGATGTCTCAGGGGTGGGATGCAGATTTAACATGAGTCGGTATCTCAGAGAGGGAGGCATCCAGCGCTCACAATGTGTCAGAAGTAATGAGTCGGTTTAACATGTTGTTGCAACATAAGCATTTCAAACTGCCTACCATTTGTTGGTGTGGTAGGTTGTGATTGTATCACCATTACTCGGATTGATACAGATGTATAAATAGTAATTTCCAACTGATGATGTGCATGACTTAACAAGGAAATTATTAATCGTTTGTGAAATTGACAATTTAAGGAATTCTGTTGAAAATCATTTGTTGATGATGGTGGAGGTTATCTGTGGAACCACAGTTCTCTAGACATGTTTCAGCAGTTGTTGTCATGCAGTGTGACTCAAAATCTTTAGTGCAACTTTTTAGATTTCATTTTGTAAAACACTTTAAAGTAATGATAAACATTTTCATAACATTTATTAATAATTTTAGTCTCTTTTAAGCTTGAAAAATGTTGTAAATCTGTCAGGCATGAAGCACACATTCTCCCGCACAGTATTAGTGAGATGAAACAACATAAAGGTTGTCTGCATGGAGGACTGTATAGACATCAAAGGTAAACATGCACACCCACTTGGCTGTGATTTAATAGCCATTTGCAGCATGCCCAAAGGGTGTGAATATTTGATTGTGACTTAAATGACATTAAATTTCATTCTCAATCTTACACATAAACTTGTATGAGTTCCTTCAAAGGATCCTGTATATTCATGGTGAGACTCCAACCTGAGCACAATAAGAAAGGCATAAATAAACTGTGTATATAATTAAAAGTTGTGACATCTTTCAAAAGGGCACTTTTATGTAGTGCACCGCTTCAAATTGTATGCAAATGGAAGTCCTAGATTGTGGATAAGTTCTCTGACATCATAAAGATATGTCCCATACATTAGGCCCTATAACTGAGAAAGACTTCCTGAAAATATGTGCTGTGATTTTGAGGCAAGTTGTCAAACTGGTGAGAGGAACAATGGGTGTTATAGTCAATGTTGTGTAAACGGGATAAACGCCACTGAAGCACTTAGCAACAGTTAGACTGCGTGACCATCAGCAGGGAGGAGACACACCGCATATGTAGCAGTCCATTGAGACTGTACCCCGTGTAATCACTTGCCATCTCTTGGATGTCTTGTAAGATTGTAAGGTTATTGTGTGTGAAGGACTTTACATGTTAGTGAAGTAAATAGGAGTAAACTAGCTGACAGCTAAGATGCCTGGATGTGTCTGGGTAGATAGAGGTGCACTGGGAAAGGGGTGGTCTTGTGTTGACCTGTTGCTGGTCTAAGGGTGTTAAGCGTTGATCTGTTAAGTTGATCTGTTGCTGGTCTAAGGGTGTCAAGCGTTGATCTGTTAAGTTGACCTGTTGCTGGTCTAAGGGTGTCAAGCGTTGATCTGTTAAGTTGATCTGTTGCTGGTCTAAGGCATCCCAAAAAATGTTGTGGTTCCGATTACCCGATCAACCCTTGAATTCTGGTGCCGACCCTAATTATTTTAAGCGGTATAAATGAAATAAGCTTTTAGATACCATTGTGTTTTCCTGGCACAGACGGACATCGGTCATTCTGATAGAGAAAGTCGGCATGATGGCCAAAATCTTGATTGAATAAACAATTATGCACTGATAAACGTGTTTTTAGTTTGTACTTTACTTTAAAAAAAATATTTAAAAAAAAAAATCCTACCTACCTACCCTAATTTTAAAGAGGTGTAATTGGAACCACAACATTTTTTTTATTTGGCCTAAGGGTGTCAAGTGTTGATCTGTTGCTGGTCTAAGGGTGTCAA